TTGGTTGGTTGGTTGATTGGCTGGTTGGTTGATTTTGGTGTAGCCCTCGTGAAAGGCTTAGAAAATTGCAGTGGTATCTCCATCTCCACCCCAGACCATCCAGGTAACTGAGTAACAGAAGCAAGTACCTCCTCCTCCAACCACGCCTCCTTTCAGGATTCACCTGATCCCCAGGGAGACCTGTTTCCCAGGGAGCTTCGTCTCAGAACTGGGTGAGGACACAGGCTGTTCCCTCCCGTCCTGGCCCTTTTGCTAACACCCTCTGGAGCTCGAGTTCGCAGCCACCATCGTTTAGGATTTTCACCGTCACCCTCCCGGCTCTCACGCGTGAGGTTCTCTGCAGACGTGCATCGGGGCAGGGCTCTAGGAAGCTGTCATCGTTGTCTGTCTGATGCCCGAGGCAGCATCTCTGGGACGCTCCTGAGAACCCCTTTGCCTGGAACCCACACAGGAGGGAGGCCTGTTTCCATACTCTCAGAACTGGGTGAGGACACAGGCTGTTCCCTCCCATCCTGGCCCTTTTGCTAACACCCCCTGGAGCTCGAGTTCGCAACCACCATCGTTTAGGATTTTCACCGTCACCCTCCCGGCTCTCACGCGTGAGGTTCTCTGCAGACGTGCATGGGGGCAGGGCTCTAGGAAGCTGTCATCGTTGTCTGTCTGATGCCCGAGGCAGCATCTCTGGGACGCTCCTGAGAACCCCTTTGCCTGGGGAAGGCCTCCCTCCTGTGTGGGTTCCAGGAGCCGAGGGCCTGGGCTGAGCCCTTCGCCGGGGGGAGTGCGGACGCTGCTGGGCTGGAATTTCCTGGGGAAATGCAAAAATGCAGCGAAGGATTTTTCGGTTCCTGGGTTTGCTACTGTAGCTCCTTGAATAGCGAGGGGAAAGGCCTTTCTTATGAGCCCAGAGCGGTCTATTCATCACCACAGACCAGAATAGACACGGCCGGGCTGGCAGCTCCATTTGCTACTTTTAAGGAATTCAACTTTGTCACGCAGCCCAGATGGGGATGTTGATTTAATCTGGCTCCTTCTCTTTCCACTTCGCTCTCCTCTTTCATCTGGACGGACCATGTGTTGCCTTTCTTGCTGGGAAGGACCTGGAGTGGAGTCAGACTCCAGCTCTGCCCGGCTCTGTGGGTGCCCTGGGGGTCTCCCCTCCGAGCCTCAGTGTCCCCACCTGTGACGTTATGTTCACGGTCAGCCCCCGCCCTCAGGGGCACCTGCCAAGACGGGACGCTGTCATCGGTGCGAAAATGCCTCATGATTGTGAGTCACACTCCACATGCCGGGCCGTTGGTTTTTCAGCAACTGGAATGGTGCTCTGTGATGGGAGGGGCTCCATCATCATATTAATGATGAGCAGACGGAAGCTGTCTTTTTTTAAAAAATATATTCTATTGATTTTTTTACAGAGAGGAAGGAGAGGGATAGAGAGTTAGAAACATCGACGAGAGAGAAACATCGATCAGCTGCCTCCTGCACACCCCCCACTGGGGATGTGCCTGCAACCAAGGTACATGCCCCTGACCGGAATCGAACCTGGGACCCTTCAGTCCGCAGTCCGAAGTCCGACGCTCTATCCACTGAGCCAAACCGGTTAGGGCCAGAAGCTGTCTTTTAAAATATATTTTTATTGATGTCAGAGAGGAAGGGAGAGGGGGAGAGAGAGAGAGAGGATCATTGATCGGCTGCCTCCTGCCCCACATTGGGGATCGAGCCCACAACCCAGGCATGTGTCCTGACCGGGAATCCAACCGTGACCTCCTGGTTCATAGGTCGACGCTCCGCCCCTGAGCCCCCGGAAGGTGCCTTGCTCAGTGGTGACCGAGGCAGGACTGCCCGGAGCCCTGGGTGTGGGTTACGCGTTGCTGTTTCCTCCCTGTAACTGCCATCCAGTGACGGGGGCGCGGGGGGGGGGGTGTCCCGTGCGCCCTGTTTCCTGCCGAGGGGCGGGCCCTGGAGAGGTGAAGGGGTCACTGAGGACTCAATTGCTCAGCGCGGTGGCAGCACCTGGAGCTTCGAGAGGATGGCTGGGCCCTGCCTGTTGTCCCCACACGTGGGTCCGGGGCTCAGGCGCTCAGGGCGGTAGCACATGTGCCCACATCGGCACCTTCCTCGATCCCCGGAGCCAAGCAGCACGTTCGGTCCAGGATGGGGACCCGGCGTGTGGGAGGCGAGGCTGAGGCTGTGGCAGGGACTGAGCTCTGGACCCCCCTCCCACGGCCCCTGGAGGCGCTGCAGAGAGAAGGAGGCGGGGAACGCCCCCATCCTTCCCCAGAACCCACTGTCCCCTCCCCGTGCCCAGCCCGGGCCTGAGCGGGGCCGCCTCGTGCCCACAGAGGTCTTGTCCAGCCGTGCCCAGCCCGGGCCTTGGAGGGTGAGGGAGGGAGTGGCCCTCCCGTGGGGAATGCGAGCTCTGGGCCCAGAAGGCCCCGTTCCAGCTCCATGTGATCAGATGGACACGGTGTCAGCCTCTGGGGCCCGGGAGGGTCCAAGGTGCCGGCGGAGAAGGTGCCGCTGCGTGTGCCTTGGATGAGCTGGTTCATTTCCCGGGTGTTCACCCAGCACCTTCCTCTGCGTTAACAGGGAGCCCCTCAGAGTCTGGCATCCCTGGGGACG